TCATAACAATAAGAATTCATATGCACTACCACTTCTTACAAGCATGAGAAATTAAATAAATCCTGTCTCTTAATTACAAGTGAAATAAAATAGTTTCCCCGCCATCAAATTTCACTTTTAACAACAAACCAACTCTTCAAAAAAAGTTTCGAAGGACACAGTGCGTGGTTGCAATTTCATGGCAAACACGGAGATACATTTTAAAATTTCCCCATATAAACATGATTACTTAATTAGCACTGGTTTTCGAAGACCACTTTAATGTTGGTCAGAACTACCGAGGCAGGGTATTCAGTTTCTCACCAGCATTACCGTTAAAGCTACAGCTAGTAGTGTATTCCTGAAAGGATTCAAAAATATAGATGAAAGGATTGTGTATGTGGAACGGAGTAATGTATAATAAGTATATTTTTCATGTAGAGTTTACAAACAGTGGTAGGCTTTTATTTTGGTGGCATGTTGAGCAGAGAATATTATTGAAGTATTCCAACTACTGGTTCAACTAAGGGCGGTAATTTTGCTCGAATAATTACAGAACTTATCATCAATACATTTAAGACAGATATTTCCGGAAAATTCATTTACAGTTATAGGTTATGCTCAATACATTTTGAAACACTCGCTGAAATATATAACAACCTTGTCACAACGGAATAAAAATCTCTACAAATCCTGAATTAATTTTGAATTTAACATTAATCGGATGGCGTTTTCTTTCTCTAAGTGATTCCATCTGATAAATGAACTTAATTTTCTAAGCCAATATAAGTACAAATAGCTTATCCAGGCTCAACTAATCAGATTTAAATAAATAATTGTTTTGTTCAATAGGAATGGCTCAGCTACACAAATATATTGTCTTTTAAACAGAGGTACCAGCCAATCACAACTCCTTCCCTTCTTACTGACTGATTATTTTTGCTTTTACGTTCGGGGTTACTTCCCCATGTTTTATCATGTTAGTCCTAAGTTCCCATCAACATTCCTAATATTTTACTCTGATTATTGATCATAATTAGCATTATTATTTTTCACCCTGTTAGTTATAGCTATGATTGACTGCATGTTTTTCTTATATAATCTATTATTACGAAATATTTTTCCAACTCTATCAACAATTCACTATATTTTAGTTCCGATTATTTCCCTGGAGAAGCTCGGGCCAGACTCAAATGAGAAACGTTGGAATTATTTCATTTCAAACACGCTGTGACTTACACAAATACAAACTATACCTAATCTCAACCTTTAACTCAGAGCCCAAAATATGCCATACTATTCGGTCAAATCACGATCATGGTTCATATAAAATAATATAAACTCATTATTTCACCCCAAATCATTCTGTTTTTATGACCTAATATTGACTTACTAGCCAGTGACAAACATTCGTTTGTTTTTTAGTCTAATAAATACGATTGTACAGCTAATGAAGATGAAGATAAAATTTTCTTCTCTGAGTTACTTTGTACTACGGAATGATTTCCCCACTAATTCAAGATTCCTTCGACTGCTTTAGCGACTAATCACTAGTAGATTTTTAAAGCCAATCAAGCTTACTTCGAAACAACTGCACAAATCACTGAAACAGATGACCACAGCTGAATCATGCAAATTTAACCTATTCGCTTTTGCAGTAGTTAACCAAAATAGTTACTGTTCTCTTCCTTAGACTTAATAAACCCGTTTATCTCTTAACTGTACGAAATGTACAACTAACTGAAAAGATTACTTATAGATCACTGTGTCAGCAATGATGAGGTCAGTCGAAGGGTACTAGGCGAGACAGGCAAGAAGACTGGTGGAGTTGTGAACTTTCATCAGCTGAGGTAGCTTGGGCATGTGCTGTACATGCCAAGCCACCACCTACCTCAAAGTGCCATAATAGTAGAGGTTGGATTAGGCTGGAAGAGGGTTCAGGGTGGCCAGACCAAGACCTGGAAATAGTCGATGAAGTTCCTGACTGTTGGTCTGAGTTGTGTTAGGAGATGTCGACTGCCAGGTTGGGGTCACCGAGATGATAAGAGTGGTTGAGGACTTTGGATGACATGGCTGAAAATCGGTCACAGTAGCTTAGATAATATTCCTTGACATCTTTTAAAGTTTGAATATTTCCACTAACCATTATCTTCAAATAGTCTATTTTCTTACACAAATTTGTCTACTTTGACATCACTCTTTATCTATCCACATGTTATTTGTATGCTACTGTAAAGCGTGGCAACTTGAGCCGATGTACTTGTATGCATGGCTCGACGTTGATTTTGTCTGTCTGTCATACCGATAAGCACTGCTCACTAGTCGGATCACGGCTATATAAACACCGGATAGATATTTTACTTGTATGAGATCAACCTCATCGGCGGCGTATCAAGGCTGATTCAACTTGAAGAAGTGAATCGGTTAAACTACCTAATTTCGGGCTAGCTGTTTGAGCAAAAAAACACTGATTTCACTGAGGAGTGTTTTTTGGTCAAATAGTTAGTTCATCAGAGTTGTTCGTTTACACCACTAACTGGTTCTCTATGCAAAACGAGGTCCAACTGACAATTAAGTGTCAGCTTTTTAAAACCCTTAAAAAACAAGGCAACATCTATCTTCCTACATATGAATCCTTTGGTTTCTGAAGAGTTGTCACATTAACAGTAGAAAAAGGGTAAAAATAATGAACATCGATGTCCCCAATTTATTCTATTTTACCACTTTATATCTGGTCTATGGTTGATTATTCAAATGCATAAAGGTCATGACGTCATGCCCCACTTTGAATTTCAATTGTAAAAAACTGAACCATATCATCTCTCCTCGTTATAAATAAATTTAAAACGCTTAAAGGCTGGTTAACATTTGTTTTGAATTTTTTCGGAAATTCATTCATTCTACAATGAACAAACTTTACGTGCTTTTGGACTAGCCTTCTTTTCAATAACCCTTGTGAATTAACTTCTTTATTTTCGGGGGTTTTACCTATCGTTCTTCATCTTATTTTCCCTATTCTGATACCGATTGGCTGACTGTTATTAATCCAGCTAATTTATTTACTAAATTATAGCATTCGCCTTGTCCAAAAACAAAACAAGAACAGAGAAAGAATATGCTTTTTTCTTCTGCCAAGTGGAGGAATGGATACTTTAAAAATCGTTTTAGTTCAGTTGGCATACGTTAAAATTGTAGGTTATGCTAGGTTCTAGACGCCGGATCTGAATACAAGAACGAACGAAATACGATTGGCAACAAGTCTCTTGGCTAAAACAAGTTTACTTAGGAAAGATAGATAGATAAGCATATTTAAAGCGTGGGAATAACCACTGTGGAATCAGTGTTACTAGAAACAGCAAAAACAAGCGGTGTATGTGAGGTGGAGAGAAGCAGTGAAAACCATAAATCCAAATTTCTAAAAGGTTATTTTCATAAAGATAGGCATGAAGTGTTCATTAAGGGGGGCCTGATATCTCCAACAATACAGTTAGCCGGATGGTAACAAGATTGATGCTTCTGTTCATCAGTAATATGTAGAAATAAATCTCACAAGATGGATCTTGTCAGTATACTAAAATTAGTGAACATATGGATCACATTTTCCATTTAATTCGAGGCACGCAGACTTTACAGGGTTGGCACAATTAGTTGAGAAAGAAAATGTTACCACTATATTGTCCGGACTTTCTTAATTCATCTTTAAGAGTTGCTAGAATGATAACAAAATTTCATTTTCAGGCTTCGTCAGGCATATTCGAAACACAAGTGCCATACGTCTTGATTACATGTTAGAAATGAAAAATACAGAAGGAAGTTTATCGGTCTGAGTGTCTTTTTTCAGTCTTATTGTTCTTTATGATAACTCGGTTGGTTGTGACTGGTAGAAGAATCCAGGACACGCGTTTCGTTCCATTTTTAAATTATCTCATCTACATTTCACTAAAACACTTCATTGTAAGTTGGTTCAAAGGTCAACGCACAGAAGTTTAATTAAAAAGGTATTATTATTATGATTTTCCCATGGAAATGATTTGCAAAAGCTCTGCGAATAGACTCAGAAAATCCCTCCATCGAAAACCAGCAAATAAAGTCCACTAAGAAATCATCATGTACAACCTGAAAAGCGTTTTCTTTGAATGCAAAGATGTATTCAGTCAGAAACCTGTCTACTCCATAAATCAGGAAAAAGATAATTTATGCATTGTCAAAGTGCAACAGAAAGTATGATATCACTTCTATGGATAAGTGATGAGTCAGTAGAGTTCTACTTCTATCAAGAGATGAAGTATTTAGCGTGATTACTAGTTTTACGTAACATATCATGATATCCCATCAATAAACTCTTTAGAAATACAGTCATCAATATTTCTGACTCTGAAATGTCATAAGCTTGAAAATTCATTTTGATATGGTGTTATTTCAGTTTCGTACCCAAGAGTGTAGCAAAACGTTATGCAAAATCAGTTGGACGGTGCGCATTATTGAAAAGGTCTGGAATAATTCTTAATTATCATCATTATACACTCGCAGGCTACTGATTTACTTACTCCAAAGAAACGAAACCTAAAGAGATCTGTAACTGTGGTAAAGATTGATTTATTTTTATCAGTTTTGTAGACAAAAGCATGAACATTTATGGCAAAGGGTGAAAGATAAACAATGAATTCTGACAAACTGAGAAATGGAAGGAAGATTTTGTAGATGATTTTAAACTTAAAATAATCAAGCTATTCAAACAGGCTATTTTTCTACATTTAAATAACTCTAATTGATATACGCCTATAACTCTAAAACCCGTAATTTTAACTACGCGAATATAAGCTTTTAAGCATCCGATCTTCTTTTTACATCCTTATTCTTCTTAAACAAACTAAAAGAGTGTAATTTCTGGAAGAAAATGCAACCAATTAGTCATGGAAATAAAATCCCCTGTTTTCTACACGGTAGACCTGCATTCAGTCAATATCAGTTTCTAGATACATGAAAAAGTAGGAAAGTAGACAAAAATGAACACAACTCACATCTGAATTAACTTCAACATGTGGGATAGTAGCACTGTCAACTAAAACTTCAAGTGGCTTAACAGCTGATGGTAACTTGCAATCGATTTCTGAACTTTTGTCTGATACATTGCCAACGTAGACGTTAGAAGATATTTCTCCCGCAGTTCCTTCACTAAATGACTTCCTCTTATTGATATCACTTAGAATAGATCCTGTCTTCGGGCTTTCACTTTCATCGATATCCACCACGGCTGACCGACTGAACGGATTTGAACCATGAGGAAAAATCCTGACAGGGAAAGATAAAGTGCCACGATTCGGTTGACAGTGTTCCATTAACGGAATCCATAAATGTAATCCAGCCTCCAACTTTAATGTGTCGAAATCAGTTGGCTTCAGACGATCAATAATTGGTGCGTACAAATAAATAAATAACTGAAGCGATGCTAAGTCATGAACATAGCGGTCTGTTGGACTTTTCACTTTAGAAGCTGTTTTTGACAGAAATAAAAACAGAGACAGATGATTTTATCTGTGTTGTCAAGCCAAAACAGTAAACAAATCTCTAAACTATGCACTATAGGAAGTTTATCCAAAAAAATCAGTGATGGAATTACAATGTAAAACTTTGTAGATTAAAGATTAATAAAAGATAATAAAACTACAGTTTCTCATCAATCAGTATTGACCATAAAGCTGAAAGAAAGCAAGAATGAAGGACTATTTCCTTCTAAAAGAAAGTCCTGACAGCGAAATCGCCAGACAGACAGTTCTCAGTCACACCTCATGAGTGTTATACCACAAAAGTGCCGCAAGCTGACTGATACGCATCTGAAAAATTGTGGGTGGATAATATGTTATAATACCACAATTACGTTAGCTGTAACACTGTTTCAAAAAGAAACCCAGAAATCAATTAGCAGACGGTAACCAGTGTTATGCTTTACATGACTGGAATTCCTTGGCGAAGGGACTGAATACAACTATATATTCAGAGTCTCCTATGGTAGTGAAACATGCCAATTTATTGATTAGTTGAAAAGCAATCACTGTATACTGATTTTGTACAACCTGGATGTTCAAAGCTCAAGGAATATCATGCTTCTGTTAAAACTTATCATCAAGTACAGGTGGATTCCAGCACTTATCGTCTGGCTATCAATCTGTAAACTTGACCCACATATTCTTAGAAGCTCAAATATGGAATGTGTGGTATCTCTGATAGACTCCTAAAGACTATGTTTCGAATTCTAGTAAATGGATGATCATGCTCGGACTTGAAAATATTTCATACCTTTGAATACTAGTAATTGCGAAATCTATCCCTAGGATTTCCCTTAGACTACCGCAAATATTTTATAATAGAATTTATCTACCTACTGTCAACAATTCGAAAGCAATTGGATTTCTCTTTGTCACAAAATCGAAATTAAGTGGCATAACATTTACTAGTTCTTAAAGTCAGCTCTATGTTGTTGCAGATTTATCATCTGTGTTTTTATAAGGTATATAATGTTGTTAAATAGTCTCAATTTTGTGAACACGTTCATTAAACAGTTTAGTTGACGGATTGAGCCGCAATTTATCAGAATAAAACAGACACGATCATATCGATAACTTGATTCTACTCTCCAAAAAGTGGTGTACTCATTTCGCTTCGATTACCAACTATTGTTGTAGTATATCAAACCAGAAAATAGAATATCGCACTTTTATAAAATGCACCAATCGGAGCATGCTAAAACTTGTTAATAAGACAACCATCGGTCTTTGGGCACACAAATAAACAACGATCCTGGCAACTAAAAGCATGAACAAATAAACCCCATGAATATATATATATATATATATATATATATATATATATATATATATATATATATATATATATAATGTTCCCAAAGTGTAGTAGACCGAGAGACGCTGCATATTCAAATAAGTCTTCCGGTTTGAAAATCTGCAAAAAGATCGAATATGCTAAAATTACTTCCTCTTGTTTTTAAAAACTTGGGCTGAGTTTAGTTCGACGATTATTACTCCTAAACCATCTGAATTGGAGTCCATCAGGATCGATTCAAAAGAGTTTACGTGGGTTGCTTGGGTGTGTAGTGAACCCACAAAAATGTACGTCATTCAACTTATTGATGCCACATTTAAAAAAACTTGACCAACTTGGTGTTTCATTTTCTAGGTTACCTTCCTTTCTTTTATATGTGCTTTAACGCACTATTAAGTGCTCGTATTCACTAAGCGAAGGTGCATTAAATGCGTCTTAAACATCAACCTAATTTTCCTTTTCCTCTTATTCTCCAGTTTTGAAGAGATTAGTGGATGATTGTATTAGATTACCTACCACGCTATTACAATGCGATCGTCGATAACACCAGATGGCTCCCTCCCAGTAAATCTACTGACTCTCCCTCTTGCACCTATAACCACAAATTACATGCATTACATGAATGTTCATTCGTGAAAATGCTACACAATGGCAGTCGGTTCTTATAATAAATCCTTCGGCCTAAAAACAAAGAAGAGATTCCACAAAATACTGTACTGCTCATCGACAGATTATTGAGACATCTTCCTAAATAATCAGATAGTCAAATTTGGAAAAGTTGTTCACATCACCTGAAATGAATCATATGCTCGCAGAAAATAGCTCCCTGGTGATCTATAGATTGAAGTCTGTTTCCATTGATTGATACCTCCCGGCACACTGATGAAGTACGTAATATAAAAACATCGAGAAATTAATAATCTTTCGAATTCCAGCAATTTTCCAATAAGTAGTGACTGACAACCGGATGTGGCTTCAGGGTTGTTTATCCATAGAATAAAGCCCAGAAAATATCACTAATCAAAGCCGTGATATCTACATACATTTAAGTGATAGTCATTCGGTGTCGGTTTTTATTTCCATTCCTTGCAGGTAATAAAAACTATCCCCGCTAGTTGTCTATGTGTATGTGAAATAAAAAACACCAGCCTGAAAGAAAAACAGTAATTAGACCTAGGGCTAAGGTATTTTATTCAATACTAATGTGAAGCACGAATATTCTGATAAGAACATCTGGAAGGTATTCAAAATTGATTAAACAGTGTGCTACTGACCAGTTAAAAAGTCTCATAACAATACGTAACCTCTAAAAACCTACGCAGACCACACCTGAGGAGTATTCACTTAACCACAATAGAACGAGAGAAACAAACACAAAACAAGACAAAATCTTTTAGTTTCATAGGTTTCCTTCGGATCCTTTCAAGTTGAATAAAAATAGTTGAAAGAAACAGAAAGTAACAAACACAGAGTAATGCTAACTTGTCAAGATAGCAGAAACAAAATGGATTTTTATCATCAAGCTAAAGTTGTTCACCTTGCCTTATTCAAGTTTGCAAAACGGAAGAATTGTATGGATTTTCTGTAGTAAACCAGAAACAAACAATTTACAAATCTTCGACAGCATTAGTCTACGATTTTTCTTTGGATCCCTCAATAAAGTTCAAGACCGTGCAGACATAACTGGACATACACCGGCCCTAGCATCTAAATATTTTCTCTATCGTTTCAGGGAATTTAGGCGTTCATTCCTGTCTCTATAAAGACAAGTACATATTATTATTGATATTTAGCTCTCCACTGGTATTTGAAGTGAATTTGAGAGTTCTATCAAGGCTCGACTAATAGAAACTGAAGTGAAGAGATATGAGGGAGAAATCATACTACTCTCTAATGAAGAGTAATAAGCTCCAAACACTACTAAATAATGCTCTATTTTTCAAGATATGAAGAAGTTAATATTTGGTGTTAGATGTTCGGAGGCGATCGGCAGAATGCCCTGAACCCATGTTTTGTGCGGTCCGAATAGCAGAGTGGTAACGTCTCCGACTGCAGCATTGGACGGCTTGGGTTTAAATCTCACAGGGGACATCAGTTCCTTCAAGGTTGCAGGTAGATGTCAACAAGCATGATACCTAAATCCAGGGCTTCTTGCCGATTGCCTATAGCAATCTATCATCAATCACCATGATGCTGACTCTCTTAGCCTGGTGACTGTATTACAAAATGACGGATAAAGTTCGGGCAGCACTTAAGACGGTGGTTTTCGAAATGGTATTCGTCCGATGAGACTAAATCCACTATCCTCTATTCATAAGGTGATGAAGATTTCGAATATTTTTTTGCTAAATATTTACTTTGACTTCTTCAGCAGCCAAAATGAAGAAGTGTGCTTAAATCTATTATGCACGATCATTAATTTATCCGATAAAAAGACCAATTTTAAAATGAGAGTTTTTGTTGACAGAATCTGAATCTTATTCCTATCAATATGTATAACAAAAGGAAAGATGAATATTTTTCAATCAATATTGTAGAAATTAGGTCAAATTTCCCTTCATTATCCTGATAATACATTTATCTCTTTTAACCTCCAGCATTGGAAGTATAAAATACATATCCCCTTATCTACATTCTCTGTACAAAGATTAAAACTTCCTCCAATCAATGTCGCCTCTTCCTATAAGAATCTTATTGTAAAATTAATAGACTAACTTACTAGCTGCATTGTTTGTCAGATGACTCCAAACGCTTAAAAGAAGACATTTGCGATACATATTCAACTATCTTTAACTGCATATCACGATTACAGCTCCCTATGTGTCCACATTCACCTAAACTCATAAACACAATGGAATATGATTCAATAGTTGCGATAGTTTTTTTGTTCACAAGGCTTATCAGCAATATATATATATATATATATATATATATATATATATATTTCTTTGCTCATACTGTTTATTTCGTTAGTGATGGAATAATGAGTCACTGAACATATGATTTAACCTAGCTACTTACAGCTGGTTGTTTCAGTCTCACGATACTCTAATCTCATGTTACACAATTACCAAAGGTCATCTAAGCATGGGTGCTCCCAGATGAAGTAAAGTGCTACACCCTATTTCTAGACTCTGAATTAACGTGTTAAGCTAAATTAACTGACTAATTACGGTCTTTATGAGTTGGTGACCTCATTCCTACCTTGCTTAGAAGTGAAACATTACTAAGAAGCACTCATCAGTAAAGACAAGAAAGATTTAGATAAAATCTTCATATTAAGTGACTCTAAACTTGATTCTAGTGCCGATCTCTTCAAAAGTTAATGCAAAACACTATCAAATGTCACACGGGTAATTTTTCCAATGATACCTGAAGTCACTTATTTGAGTTAGAGTTTTAATAAACCACCTTTCTAACCAATTTATGTTTACTGGAAATCAATCTATGAAATACCTATTTTTATAACTCCACATTAATGATCTGCCTAGATGTGGGAAAATTTTAAAAATCAGACATGACCATTATTTCATGTGTATGATATATTTAAAATCCATATAAATACAGTATTATTACCCATTTCTCCAAAAGATGTAGTACAGTTGATTTATTAAGGTAGTATTTTAATCAAGCAATAAAGACTCATCTACCCAAATGGTTGTGTCCATAGCTTTACGATAAGTTATAATAATTTGATTGAACCATTAAACATCTTCACTAGTAGTCGTAGTACACAGTCCGGTAGTTTCTATAGTCAAATTTCTACCCCTTTAGTTCAACTACTAAACACATTTTATCCCTAACGAGCTGAGTGTAGTCGCATTAAATGCAGTGGAGTTGTGACTCGTTGGTTTAGTGAGTTGACTTTTAACCTTTGAGTCAAGGGTTCGAACGCCGCTCTACGTACCGAGTTTCGGGTAGCCAAATAGTACCATTAGCCCTCACCCACCAGATGTGCCTATCGCACAAATAGGCACAAGTTAGCTGAGTGAATTTAAACTTTATTTTTCTTGGCACTGAACACTCTTTCGCACTTGAGTCAAACTTAAATGAAGTGTAGATTGTTGTCTTGTTCCATGAAGTGCACCATGTAGAGCTTTTGTTCAGAATTAAAGTTGTAGTAATTCATTTGGAAAACTGGCTAGTCAATCGACTGAAATCATTTCACTTAACTAAAGGCATTAATGAATCCAAGTCCTGATCTTCATCAAGTATCTTTAGCTGGAAGGTGTAAACTGTAGTAGTCTACCTTACATTTAAGTAGAATTGTTTAAAATGATTAGTCATGTCAAGTCTTCCCTCATCATTTTAATAGGCCATAAAACCATTTGTATTTTCAATCTGTTGCTAGGCATTGGAACAGAACGAACTGTTTTAAAAAGCAAAGATATTCTGCTATAGATATAATCCTGTTTCATAATGAAGGAGAGAACAGATTTGATATCGGTGTTTGCTGTTTGCTGATTGTTCATGTAATATTTTAGAAAAAACAAGAAAATATCCTTATAAAATCGTCTTCAAGTCACTGAGAAGAGTGGTTATTGTTGATGGATAACTTGTATTCTGTAGTAGCTTTTCACATAAACTTTTTTTATCAGTATATTGTATAAATCATGTGGATAACGCAACCCATCCAAAATGGCATGCATCTTAATATGAATGGTCATTGAGATAGAAATCTTTAGGTAACTTTCAGTTTTTGAATTAACTTCGTTGATTGCTATAAAAGACCAAGTCAAATTTTTATTCGGTTATACACTTTAAAATGTTGTGAATAATAACTGATTTTTGTGATCGGAGTCTGCAACTAAGAGAGTGACATGAAGAAGCTGTACATAAAAGAATCTCAATTGTCTTTGACATAAACCGGTTGCCTCGTTTAAGCGATCAACTGCACACCTATCGATAAGTTCTTGAGGCCAAGATGTTTCATTCAGGTGTATGTCAAAAGCAGCCACGAGCATTTCACATGTTCTCATTAGACGTACTCTAAAACTAATGAATAATCACGAATATGATAGCAGTATTATTCTAAGAGAATTTCCCACTTAGTATTAGAAAACGTTTTTTGCTTTTTCGAGTAACCTATCATACACCTTAGTGCGTGTTCTGGTAGTAACTTAAAATCCCTCAATATTTGATTCTATTTCTCTTAGCTTGCAAACACCAACATAGTGGCGACTTCGGAGTTCAAGTTCCTTATCTTGTATTCAGAAAGATAATTTACACCTTTATTCATTGTAGCTCCATTTTTGGATCAATTGAAAGGCAGAAAAAGATAGTCATAAGGTCTGTGTGACCATTAGTGGGGCTGTGGTTCATTGGTCAGGGCAGTTGACTTTAACCGGTGGGTCACGGTTCAAACACCACTCCGACCACTAGGGTTTAGGGAACCAGGTAGTATCCTTGGCCCTCAAAAAATAGGTGTAGTTCCTTGTCTACTCCGCTAACACGAACAAAGTTGCTGAGTGAGTTTTTATTCCATTTTTATGTACCTATTAAAATCAGCAGAATCTATCGAATACAAATACAAGTTTTACTTGCTATTTTGCAATTAGTCTGAAAAATTTAAACTGCGAAACACAAGTGAATAGAAGTTTACACCAAACATAGAGGTTTAAGCACACTACATAGACAGTGACGGCATTAAAAATCCTTTTGTAAAAGTGTCTCATGAAGTCTAATATCAAGGATGCACATTCTGATTCTGTAAGTCACCAAGTTACAAATTTATGCGACTGAAATTCAGGCAAAAATACATGGTATAGTATGAAGTCTGAATATACGTTTACTTTATTAAGATGTCATAGTGAGTCATCCACCCGGTAAAGTTAAAAGGCACTCAAATATTCATAAGTTAAAAACTACCCTTCCTTACCCAGGGAACTAGAACACCTACCTGGATGGTTAGAAACCTCTATTTCTGCATCTTCACATTCGGAAGCAGCATCTAGTAGAATCCAATGAAGTGTATACAATAGTTTAGTTTCTGTTTGACTGAAATTCAGTTGTGTTCGATCGTCTAACAACTCGCTGCTATTTGAAGTCCCATGTTTTTGCTGTTGTTGATCTGTAACAGACTTATCGCGTAACTTTTCTCGAAGCATCACAGCACCACAATGCAACACATGGGGGAGGGCTGCTTTGACAAACCTCCATCTGCTGATAGATTGTATCGCCTCACATAGTACTATTGACCGACCATGAAGTATATTTTGGACCACAACCTTCTCAAAGGTCTGCATTGTTTAAAATTTAAATGGGCAATAGATTGTTTATGTTTAACAAAAGCACTAAAACTCTGTTTGAAACATAATTCATAGTAAAGTGCCATACACATCGTAAGCAAGGAGATTGATATGCTCCTTATGTCAAGGCCACATTAGTACCATTAATTAATTTCAAAGGGAAAATGCATGAATTAAATCCAAACAGATGCCTTATAGTTAAGAACACAGGCAATATCGAGGAGCCCATATGCTAACAGAGACTGATCAGTTCGGTCCAATAAACGACGGTGTAATACAAGCAATAACACTAAAACTGTACCCGTCGCACAGGAAGTGGCTATTGTGGCTCGATGGTGTAGTGGATAATGCTCTCTCGTTGAGGCGATTGCTCACGAGTCCTAATACCGGTGGGAACATCCAGCTGACGAGTCCCAAATAGGAAGAAATGCGCATCTTGGATTCTACTGCTAGCCATTATCCATCATTAATATATGGATACTTTTTACTACCTAGTTAGACAGCTTATCAAACTGGAGATCGAAAATGCTGGCTGACATATTGTGTCCTAAAATAATACAGCTACCAAAAGCGTTTGCCAAATACTGCAGGTTACTCCCTTCACATGTTTTATATTCAAGCAAAATTTTATGCTCAAATGAAAAAGTGGTTTATGGGATTTCAAAATTTTACGGCTTTTCTCGTCATGGTTCAGGGTCAATTTTACTAAAGAACAGTGTCCAACAAATTCGACTCACCTTAAGTACTTATAAACCGAATTTACGGTTATGTTGATAGCCAATTATGGTAAATACAATTTTTAAATAAAATATGGGTTCAAGATGTACGCTATAACTTTAAGCTAAGATGCTATTTTTTCTTCCCGTGTGCCAACGACATTTACTGCCACCATTCTTTTATTCGTCTTATACTGCTTACAATCACGTGAAATTTATTGTCATACTTGGTGCACGTTTCCAAAGCATACCAGAATATAACACATCGTAAAAACGTATACCCTTCACGATACCAAATTAGTATTTGACGTGAAAATTTTTCATGACAAACGCAATTGTTATTATTATTGGTGTTTTGGTCCATAGCTGTAAACTCTTGAGCGACTTATCGGAAATAATACTCTTCTTTCACGTTGAATATCAGAATGGTCCATTTTCACGTACCACTTCATTGAACCTCAGAGAGTCAATATAAACATAAAATATTCCTCAAAACTATATATCATTATAATTCTTTTTCCCTTGGGTTCCTAGTGGAACATAGGGCAGGGCTTCAGTAGCACGTCCCCATTGCACTCTGTTCCCTGCAGTCTTTTGAACCTCCCTCCACGACTGCCCACAAGCTTTCATTTCTTCCTTACATGATCTCCTCCATGTCACCCTCACCTCGGACGCCCAACTCGTCGTTTCCCATTTGGATTCCACTCGAGGGCCTGGCCTGGCCTGGCGCGTGATATCCCCAGTCGGCCTTCTCAGTGTATGCTCAATCCAACTCATCTCCACTTTCTTCTGCATATTTGTTGGGTGATAGGTTCTTGGTTGGTTCGTTGGCAGGCCAGAGTGAGTTCCTTGTTGCTTATTCTTTCAGGCCATCTGATCTTCAGTGTAAGTATCGAGTGAGCGTAGGCGACAGTTGTTGATGAATGTCTTTAGTTTGTTGGAAATGCTTTTTGTGACGCGCCAAGTTTCTGAACCATAAAGCGGCACTGACTTGACATTGGTGTTGAAAATCCGGATCTTGTTCTTTGTGGTGGGTGCAGTAGATCTCCACACTGATTTCAGATCAATGAAAGCCTGTCTTGCTGTCTTTCCGATCCTGGTTTTGACATCCTCGTCTGTGCCGCCTGTAGTTGAAACGGTCTTGCCTAGGTAGGTGAAAAAGACTACTTACTTTAGGCTTCTCCCGTTGACGGTGATTGGAGCTTGTTGTTGCTTTTGTTGGTGTTGGTTAGGTATCTTCATTACCTCTGTCTTCTCTACGTTCACTTGAAGTCCTGTATTCGCTCCCTCTTCTGTCAACTTGTTAGTTTTCGCCTGTAGATCTTTGAGTTTGTGTGACAAGACATTAGACATAAATCATCATCGTTGGCGAAATCCAAATCTTCGTCTGGGGTCTTTTCATCGGTCCAGCCAGCGTATGTCCTTCTTCTCGCTCCTCACTGTTTGTTGCATGATCCAGTCCAGTCGAGCACAATCAGGAAGATCATTGGTGATAGTAGGCGGCAGCCTTGTCTTACTCCTGTCTTCACTTCAAAGGCGTCACTCAGCTTTCCGTTGTCGATCACTTGGCATGTGGCGTCTTCATATAGTTGTTGTTGAATGAGGTTGATAAAGGTTTGTGGTATTCCATAGTGTTGTCGCAACTGCCAAATTACTTCTCGGTCAACGTTGTCGAAGGCCTTTTCAAAGTCGATAAAGTTGAAGTGAAGGTCCAGTTGACTGCCATTCTATACTTTGTTCTATGGTGATGCGTAGCGTAGCGTTGCAATTCGATCCGCACATGATTTGTTCTTCCTGAAGCCAGCCAGCCAGCCTGTTCCGGTCGTAGTTTTGAATCCAGCGCATCCTTAGGTCTCTCCAGAATGATGCGGCTTAATATTTTGCTTGCTGTGGGTGGACAGCAGCATGATTCCACGCCAGTTCTTGCAAAGACTTAGGTCTCCCTTCTTTGGGAGTTTGACGAAGTAGCCCTTTTTCCAACCAGCCGGCAGGTACCTTTCCTTCCTTCCTTGCAAACCTTCTGCGGTAGTGGTGTGAGCATGTCCACCGTTGTCCCTGCGTCTGCTCTCAGTGCTTTTGGCGGGATTCCATCTGGTCCTGCTGCTTTCCGCACTTCAGTAGCCTTATGGCGTTCAGGACTTCGACTTTCGTCGGAGGGCCTGTGTTCACTTGTAGTTCTGTGGTTGCAGGTGGTATTTCTGGACGAGTTACAGGTGATGGTGGTGGTCGATTCAAGAGCTTTTTGAAGTGGTCAGCCCATTGTTTCCTTTGTTTCTCTTTTCTTTGGTAATTATGTTTCCTTCACTATCTTTTATTGGTTTCGTCTGCGCTGATCTCTTCCCTACCAGATAGTAACCTGGTTATTTGATATAGTGTTGTCAGGTCTCTGTCCCTCCTACCTGCAGCCTGTTCTGCTTTACTTGCCAGTGTGTCGTGGAAGTGTATTTTGTCTTTCCGTGCACTCTTCTTCACTTCTTTGTCTAATGTAGTGTTTTATCGATTGTATTCAGTTTCCCTTTTCGTTGTGCATCATTGCACTGGTTTATCTTCTGCTTCACCATCTTCCTCTCTTCTATCAGCGAGGAAAATTGGGATTGCAGATTATGATAGAGTTCCAGTGTTGAGTGGAAAACAAGCGAAAAGTTTGTTTCTCAACTAAGATGAACATTCTCGCAGTATCAACTTCAGACGAAAAAAAGTCTTTATCTATCTAAAGCAAATGCACAGTATTAAGTTAATTTTTATTATTCAAGTATGTGCTAATTAAAACGACTTATTTATTAGATATTTTCCGAATAAGTATTTTTAGCTGTAGTTAGTATGGAATGATCAAAGTATCAAGGTATATTACTCAACGTCTGAGAATCAACAGCTTTAATATTTAATTGATTCTGATTCAGTAGGACTGCCAATATTAAGGTCTGGAGCTTTAGCAAAGAAATCGTCTCGTTTTCATCACTTAAGATACACAAATTTCAACATAGCTGGTGGAAAGGATAAACAACAACTTTCGTTTAACTCAATTTTTAGGATTTTAAAAACTCATTTCGATTTTAGAAAGTGTGAATCTTAGGTGGATTAAAAATATTGTGACCGTCAAACTTTAGTTGGGTCTAACCAACCATTCTACTGAATATCGTTTCATCCATAAGCAGTTGTGATGATTTCTGATTTAAATGCACCACATTTTACGAAAGTCCTCTGAACGATAAGTATTGCATAACACAATCAACATAAAATAACCTAATGTCAATGAATAGTCTCCCACCGAAAAGCCTCGAAAATGCACTAGCGCATTAGTCATATGGAACATTTGCGTATGATACTGAACATATAGTGAGTCGATAAACGCGCAACATATTCCTTGTGAGTTACTGACCATCAGTTTCCAAACACCACATGTTTTTACGAAGATAAAAGCATGTTTTGTCGCATTAGGAAAAGAATCTCACTTTTTCAGGATGAAAGTGCATGTACAGATAAACAGACGAAAAAACAAGCTGGAGCATATCTTTATACAGAGATGCATCAGCTCAAGTTGTTATACTTGGCGAAAGCGTAGGAACATAATACAAGGCTAACCTTAATGATACCAGCGCTAACCTAGGTACATTGTAAGAGGAAGAATAAGGAAGCAACTATTTAAAATTTCGAAGGTGATAAAGAGAGAATAACTCTGTGCACTTGTAATTGACTCTGATTAGTGGTGTGTTACAGCTAAGAAATTCTAGTCAATTGGTAGACAACTTAACTGTATAGTTCAAACCAAAGGTTAAAAATTCCGGCTGACACATCGAGACAGATGGTGGAATTACACATACATCACTTATTTTAGTCAGTATAGCTTAAAATGTCATCGAATAACTTGCCTTTCTGTCTAAAAACTCCACTATGTATCAGAAATATGGCCAATACCTATGATCACCTCTCATTGCAGCAAATGAGAGAGCGGATTTCTGAGCAAGACACTTGCTACATAAAAGACAGTCGCATATCTTACCGACACCAACGATGGTACAAGTATGAGTGTATTCTACTAATATCGTGTCAGCAGCCAACCTAATAGAGATTACCATTTTTCTGGACAAAAAGTGTAGTAAACGTATCTAACCACTTCACTTGCTATCCTTTGAGTCAATGCAAACTAGTCAAGAAACAGCTTTTTATTTTTGATAAGTGTAGTAAATATGTCAAGCAAACCCAGATTTTACACCTAAGGGGTTCAGAAAATTCTACACTTGGATAAAGTCTTCATCTGATAGGACAGTACTGGTCAGTAACAAAGTCAAACACAAGGAGAGAGGTTGTTTTACTTAACAACTGTTTAAATCAAGCCAACAAGCGATACAAATAGATGGTTTTGCTGAAATTTCCCGCTAAAGGGTATCGAGAAAGGAATTTTTCTATTTTTGGAGTGCACGCTCGATATCTGATAATGCGTATCTGAACGGGTTCCAGAAAGATGTGTTGAATGTCACTCTGGTCGAATTGAAGATAAAAGATAGGTCTGTATTTTAGTAGGATATAAGTAAGCATTTAGAACAGGACAGGTAAGCAAACAATGTTATTTTTAATAAAACGCTCAGGATTTACTCTTTTATGCATAATTTCACTGACAAGACAGAAACCTAATCACGGTTATCCTAAATTGGCTCATTTATAACAGGGTATTGTACTATTAAGGCAAGACAGACAAGTCGATTTATGAGGTTGTGAACCTTAGTCGACTGTGATGGGTTGGACATGTACTGTGCATGCCAAGCCACCGCCTACCTCTACTTGCCAAGATAGGGGAAGTCAAATTAGGTTAAAGACAGTTCAAAGTGGCCAGACCAAGACCTGAAAGTAGTTGATGAAGTCCCTGACTGTTGGTCTGAGTCGTGTTGGGAAATTTAAACTTCCTGGTTAGAGTCACCGGGACGAATGAAATCAGTGGTTGGGGACTTTTGGTGATGTGACTGGAAATGAGTCACAATGGCATAGATGTATTCACTCGTTGACATCTATGGCTTGAATATTTGCATTAACCTTCATCTTCATAATGTTTAATCTCTTACAGTGCTTTATCTCCTTTGATATCACTCTTTATCTATCCGTCTGTTGTTTGTATGCTACTGTAAAATGTGGCAACTCGAGCCAATGCACTTGTGTGCGAGATTCCACGTTGGTTTCCTCAGTCAGTCGGCACTACACAGTAAGTAATTGTCAAATAATAATATCAATGTCTTAGTCACACTAATAATGCAACTTACGAAAGAATAATGATAATGTAAAATTCTCAAACGTTAAGGTCAGTCAAAATTTTAAAAAGTAGAGACGTGTCAAACTGAAGGACATATAGTAAATATTCGAAGCTTATGTAAAAATCATCAACGTCAGCCAAGAGTTAGAAGTAGAAAACGTTTCATTGGGTAAAATTGCTTATAACTTTTCCTCTGGTCAGCGCACACATAAATGTCATCCAAGTTTTTCTGAACATAGAGACGAAGGTTATTTGCTCTGATCCTGAAATTTCTAGTTATACGTAAGAGACGAATAAACACCCATTCAAAAGTATCAATGGAATGTGATGAACGATTTTGAATTCATTGGATTTGCACCTTACGTCACCAATATCAAAAATGATAGAACTGTGCTCCAAATTAACTCCCATTGTCTTCTCTTCCAAACCACAAAATTATGTACTGAAGAGCTCATTCGCTAGTTTCTGTGGCAGATTGTTAGAAGGACTTTCTGCACAGAAACGACTTGGTTTACAAAGCGAACAAAAGTGGTACAACTATGTGGCGTCATATATTTCGACTAAACAATAAACAGAGTAAAAAATAAGTAGGCACATGTTGGTTGCATTCAAAGTTCTCATGAATCTACATGCCCTTTCATTGGTAAATTCAAAGAGTGAAACCATAAAATTGGTGCTTCAAAACAATGACCTATCAGAAACAGACATATTTTAGATTTAGATTTTAGCGCTCAACTGAACTACGTAACCAGATGCTCCTGGCCATAAACACAAAACGTTTGATTAATGCTTGATCTTCCGACCAAATATCATGAATCTTTTGGTTTCGGAAACCGCGTAATGGGTTGCTGAAAGATTTAATCATCTAGCTGAGTGCATACTGGCGTCACATCAACGAAAATACATCCAGAATACATGCATAGTTGTTTATTTTTACCATCGGAAATTGCATTCATTACCATGTACAATCAATATTTCAAAATTAATGCAAGCTACTCGTAGGTGAATAGTAGCATAATCTAGTGGTTTTCCATGAGCGAGCAACCTATCGCAATTCTGTTTACCACATTACAGGAACAGGTATCCTGCTGATCTTTACATTAACTGTAGTTCAGTGTAGACATTGTATGCCAGTGTAATATGGGAAACTAAACGTACAGTTGCTTAAAAATGGATCTTCAGACTACACGAAATTTCAGATATGTTGTTGCAAGAGTGTGCGTACAAGTCAGGGAATATTCTTTTCTTCAACAGATAATAACTGTGGACCAGTCAATGGGATTAACAAAGTGACGGATAAATTAGCTAAATAATCCAATCATACTGAGAATATTGGTAGTAAATTGTCAAGTATTCTTCATGGCTAGTTTTTTCGAAACACAAAAAACCCTAAAACATCTTTAAATCTCTATGATTGTGTAAGAAAACACCGATAACTGATTCACCAAACCATTAAATGCGAAAAGTTATCATGTACACCATATTTTTCTCGTGTTTTGTTGTGAGAAAGAGAATATTAGCCTGCCTGTACACAAAATTGAATGCCTCTGAAAATCATGAGCATTTGTTCGGCATATAATTGCAAACCCTAATACGTATATAACAGCAGCAGTAGTGAAATAGGAAACTCACAGTACACACTCCATCTCTAGCCGCGGGTTTCTGCAGGAATGAACTATTTTTAATAGATAATATACCAATGGTTCGTACTTACCAGGTCTGAGAAAATAAGAAGCTTTGAATCGGCAGCGGAATGTGGGACGATGATGACTTGTTCATCTAAATTAACAGACATCTACAGTCCTTAAAACAAATAAACAGCTTAAACATTTGAAGTCTTGCCGCAAGAGGCTGAATAAATTTTCACGTAAAAAAACAACTGAAATCATCAAAGATCCTCGGGTCGACAGTTTATTTTTTAAAAGGGATGTTAATCTGCTTTCGGATTTTCTGTTCCAATGTTGGCAACCGTACTTTCAATGTCTGTTTTATGAGCTTTCATGAACCAGCTGATTTCTTCTTGCTCGACCCTAGATCACGCAGAACAGTCCCAGGGTCTCTGCGTATCTCGACGGAAGAGATCCAGCCACTCAAGAGCCATCAAGCTCCAAAACTAGTGGCCGATAAAAGAAAGGATGATTCAAGATTTTACCAACGAAAGCATGAAAGAGAGATAAGTGTGATACGGAAGAAACAAAGAGACCAGAGAAGAGGAAATATTTGGAAAGGTTTAGAAAGGGGGGAGGGAAGAAAAGACGTAACTGGGATGTCAATGAATATCGGTCGATAAAGGAGCCGGAGAGTGGGGAGAATCCAGCTGAAGCCATGGTAGGGATAATGGAGGCAAAAATATTGATGGCAATAGTAATGAGACATTCGCTGGAGGGGTAAAATGGAGAGAGACGATAGCAGAGTAGTTTCAAGGTGGAAGATTGTTTTATGTCTAGAACGGCAGTAACAATGAAAGAGGACAGGTATGGAGAGAACAGTATTTATGTTGCATGGCTTCATCCTAACTCAACCTATATAACTACTCGACCGGACAAGATGATACTTGATTGTCTCTCCATGGTTGTAATAGGAAGTAGTATACAATGGGGAAAGTAAAGTACTGTCTGCGAATCAGGGGTGTCTGGAAAGATCAACTGGCATTTAAATGAGTTGAACGCGAGTCTTTTTTCGCCCGCATTTCTGTCATCACGAGGTCGTCTAACATTGCTTTTGACACCGCTTCAAATCTCACACCTCTTCATTACTTATTACAGCCATAGCTCAGTGGAAACAGAGAGCCGTGGCTTCACAGAGAATGACTGAAAAATAGAGGAAACAGCACCAGACTCACAACAGCTCCTTTTGATACACCGGATGATGATGCTCTACAGGTTGAGCCAAATGTGCTGGTTTGAAGAACTTCTTATCGTCTAAGTAGTCCGTCACCCATGACAGCACTCGTCAACTGACTAGCTAACTTTGTGATTTACTGCTTAAGAATAGCTTCTGAGACCGAATCAAGTGCTTTGGTCGGATATAAAAACTTACCTGGCCAGTGTCCTGGAGGTTTCAGCATGCTGCCCACTTGTCGCAGGCTGTCAGAAGTTTAGAAGAACGGGTCGTATCTCTTTGAAAGCCGAGATTTTCCCCATTTAGTGCGCCGTTTCTGTTCAAATATTCTCTGACGTGTTCGTCTAACAGTCTTTCGCTTACTTTTGACAACAATGACAAAGAAATAACTGGTTGTAAACGATTTGGATTCCATCTACTACTTCCTTCCTGTGTGTCAAAGAAGATGAAACCCCTCACATTTTATCAGATCTAATGAGTTTTCAGCGAAAATAAAGGTTATACAGAGGGCCACACAGTACGGCCTCGGAGCAGTTGCAATACAGACGGCACGTGTCGTTACATCTTGGAGGTTTTACTGCGCGAAATTTGGTTACCCTTCCATAAAGTAATCCAGAACTCATCTTCAGTCCGTGCATCCTTTCCGAAATAGACAACGGGGAGAGCTTTGGGGGCTGTCGGTAAGCGAGGTCAGATGACGGGTTTTGGGGTCGTCTAAGGAAGCGCTGAAGGCCTCTGTGACTGCAGTTCGGAGAGATTCCTCCAACTCAGACACTAAATAACGTATGGTTCTTGGCTGGAAACCCTCTCCCTTTCACGAACCAATGCGCCTTCTCCGGGTTACCCATATTCCAGCATATCTTGATGTTATATCGACTCCTCACAGCCGCATATATGTCATGGTCTGTCTTAAAGAAAATTTACTTGTGTCATACTTGCCTCCTGGTTCGCGAGAGCTGATTGGTGCCTCATTCCAGCCATGATCGCAGCATTTTGGCCATCGTTACCACCAAGAGTAAGTTTACGGAAATCGTACCCTCGAACAATTAAAACCATTATATATGCAGAAATGTCATAATGTCGGAATGATGACCAAAAGACTAATTATCAAATTAAGTGAGTGAGAATGGAGTAAGACAGCACAATTCTGTAGGAGAAAATCCAAACCATACCGAAATATCAGGTTTCACATATCGTAAATGTTGTTTGTTTGCCTTGAGATTTAGTCACTGCAGTAGATTAATTTTGTGTAACACTCTTTCGCTATATTGTGACGTTGGAGCCGCTTTTGCGCCTGCGAATGATTTCCTATCCATGTTTCTCACAGTGACAATTTCCAAAACTAGCTAAGCGGAAAATATGGCAAAAACTCACGTTTCCCCACCTCTCGTGCTATTCAGTAGGAGCACAGACGCTGTGGGCCGATACCTAAGCTCTGGCACTGCAATATTTTTAGACGGAAATGTAGCGACACGCGTTTCCCCAGGTTCTACAGCCCAGATTTTAACAAGCTTCAAAAATGATCCTGACCTTCATAGTGCTTTCGGACTTGCTAAGCCGAAGACACATGGTGAAGCATCTATGCCATCTGGTACGCTGCCGTGTTACGTTGCGCCGTTCGTGATTGATCCTCTGGCCAGGTAATCGGTACGCATTGACATTTCAGTACGATCTCTATGATGGACTGTCTTCATCTGACTACGCCACTGCACTCTTCCCTGGTCTCTCATTCATTGGCATAATGCACTTGAGAACAATTAGTGCTTGGTCTCTACGCCTATGAAGTCCGTGCAAGCACAAATCCTGAATAACCATTCCTCCCCCAAAATTACAACTGATCGGGTTTTTAACTTTTATTCGCTTCAAGTTTCATCATCTTTTCTCCTTTTGTGAAATTTCTGTTTTAAAGCCAACATGCTATTCTTAAAAGTAGCGTCGAAATGACTGATAAAGATGTCTAAATATCCAAATATTTTCGATAACCCAGTCTGTGACCAGCATTTTACAGCTGCCAGTGAATGTTTAAAACGAAGTGATAAATTTTTGTCACCCACTTTTAGTTGCTACTTGTATCACATATCGGATAAATTTGTTGGCGAAAGGTATATGGATATGTCGTCACAAAACACAACAGTTCCTGGATTTATTCTCAAACCAAAGCGTCGCCTGATTACCAGACTAAGTTTGTCAATTTTTAGTGTAATCTGCATGTCTTCTACCTCCGCAATTACACCGCTAATTTGACACACTCTACTCTCGTCGAATTAGTGATCGTATATATCCCCTGAAACCAAGCTTTTGTATCATTGTGTGTTTTGTGGCGGGTAGTTAGGTTAGAGACTACCTGCCTCCAATTTCATTGTTCCGCGGAAAAGGAAATGATACTAGTGAGCCACAAACTCTTCGAAACGTAACCTTCAAATAACAGAAACCAAAAATAAGGATTTAAACGGGTGTTTTTGCTTTATCCACAGAAGCAGCAGGCTTTTGTGACGAGTTTCAAGTATATCCTTCCAAAATGTGAGCTGCCACTTAGGGGGGGGAAAACCTTTAAGAAAGTGAATTCAGCTCCTTCTTCCTTTTGGCCCGAACGCCTATGTGTGCCTTGTTTCGACTAGTACATGCTTCAGGACTTTGTGGGCAAAGTGGTATTTGTTGACTTCCTTTAAAAACTAAGAGCAAGGACTTATATGTGAATCAACCGGGACATGCTGGAGGCATTCGCTCCTCATTGCGAGGACACCAAAAATCCCTTTGTTTAGCCTTCGTGACCAGAAATTTTGATAAACCACATAATTTTAAATACAGATAAAACAAAATGAGGCAGCGGACATCATTTTACCCATGTGCAAATGAGTCAGGTCCTTGAACAACGGAAGACGCACATAGTAGTTTCGCGTTCACCTGGCTTCGGTCGTGTATCGGGGGTTTTTCATCGTCAGGCTTGTTGACATCCTCAGATCTAAACTCATGGAGAAGTGAAGTGTGCTCGAATATCACGTGAGTGCTTGGAAAGTGTCCTTATTGACCCTTGCTGTTGTTCAGTTGTAGGTTGGGGAAGTGGTTTTATCACATCCTGACCTTATTCACGTAACCTTCTCCTCAGTGGCGCTAGTGGAAACCTTTCCAGAGGAAAACTATGCCATCTTTACAGTCACACTCCCCCTCATTACTGATTTACTTTTGCAGTTCACACCTGCTCAATGGTTGACTGTTTTTTACCTAAGTAGATTATAATTTGAATTTTTATCCACACGTCTGTTGATTAACCCTATGTTAGAATGCTATGCTTACAGGAACTCCCCTACAACCGCTGAACTCGCTATCCGCAGGACTTCCGCATCCTTTCAGAGTAGTGATTGCAACTCTCCGCGTGCGATGAGGCCGAGAACCAGGTTTACATGAGATGTATTTATGTCACACCCTGGGAATTCAGGCAATGAGGGACTGATACCCCAAGATCCTTTGCCACCAGCAATGTCGTTCAGTTTGAAAGTGTGCCGTGTATAAATCATCTCACATTCCAGAGTCAAAGGTTAGTCCACTATAGTCTGCCAGATGTTGAAGTCGGGCCGAATCATCTCATCAAGGCAAACCAATGGTTTTAGTCCGTAGCTTCGCTCCATGGCTTCATATCATCAGCCAAAAGGAGAATCCGAGAGGAAGTCTGCAAATACAAACCGCTTGCTCAAACTAGGAATGGGAGAGCCTAAAAAGCCAACCCCGGCGGACTCCATCAGGACATCTTTTTCTTTGGAAACAGAAGAATTCACCCGAACCCTAAATGAGTAATCACTTAAGTATGATAACGGCCAATCTACAAGCGGCCAATTGATCCCCATTAACCTGAACTTGTTCGTGGCTGGAGCGGTGAAAAGCCTAGGAAATATCAAAGTATGCGATATCTACCCCACCCTAATTACCACCAGCCCAACTAT